CTTTCGCCCTTTGACGACTGTCCAGCTGCTCTGGTTTGTCTGTCGGGCGGCCTGGTTTGAAGTTTCAGATTCAGCTGTAGCCCGTAGAGCCATTGGTTCTTTTGGGTTCGCTGCACTTCTATTGGGCCTCGGCTTTTTTGAGGGAGTTTTCCTCTGTTCGGAGGCGACTTCCCTCGACCGCTTGGGAGTATTGCTACCTACTGTAGCACTAATGCTCGCTGCCTTAACGTTTTCGCCTACTTTGAGTGGCGTGGTCTGCACCTCACAGTTTTTAACCGAACGGTTGCAGAACGCTTCGGCCGTCTTGTGAAGGCTGACCAGCCTAGCCAGCTCCTCTCTCATTAAGGCATTTATATGCCGCTGACCCCCAAATAAGGCAGACAGACCCTCTAGTGTAGCTCCTATTTGAGCTAACGCTTCTTTTAGTGACTTGGGTGCCTGGCACTCAGCCACTGGAGCCTGGTTAGAAGTCGGCGGCTGCGCCAACACCCTCTGTTGTTGCTGCGGCGATCGCTGCAACGAGGAACGACGCGCAAAAGCTTGCAGCTCGTCCTCCATCATGGCATCCATTTCTGCTCCGACTACAACGGCGTGAAGCCTGTAGTGGGCAATGGCTACTAAAATAATCTGAGTTTACAACCCGCAGTCACTTAAACTCAACTTGACTAAAGCGAGAGCCCGAAAGTATGCACTACTTTTAATAACTGCTACTTCACTCCAGCAGCTAGGTTGCTGTCTTTGCTAAGGCTTAGCAACTCACCAACGTTAGTGAGCAGCTGATTGCCCGATGCAATTTCCAGCACTACTAACAGCTGTTAGAGTGAATGCACCTGAGTTTTCTTATTGCGCAAGTGTGACGCCTAAAGTAACAAAATTTACGCGCCCACAAAAGACAAGGAAAGGAAAGAAGCCCTGACGCCAAAACACTGACGCTATCGCCCCCCCTCTCTTGCACCACCGAATTATACCGCTTGGGAATTCCACGAACCGCCGCGCAGTAAGTCTCTGGTAGTTTTTTGAGGTCGCTGGGTACGCCGCGCCCACAGCAAACACGTTGACTTCAGTTCTTTCCACTTTCACAGGGGAAAACACAGTTCAAGCTATTGTCTACGATGGACCACGATGACATCGACCGCACTCCGTGAAAACGCAACTCGAACTCCTGTGTATGCGTGTGTGTGTGCATGTGTGTGTGTGTTTTTTTTTTTTTTTTTTTTTTATACTCATTCACGAAAGTGAATCAGTATATTGGTTTTGTGCAATGTCCGTCTTGCTGTCCGTCCGTCTGTCCGTCTGTCCGTCTGTCCGTCCGTCCGTCCGTCTGTCCGTCTGTCCGTATGAACGCAATCTATTTCGGCGCTATTGAAGCTAGAGACTTGAAATTTGGAACACATACTCGTGTATATCTCCGATTTATAGAGTGTTAAAATTTTCCCGATCCGCCCACTAGGGGCGTGGCAAATCGGAAAATGCATTTTCCGATATACCAGAAATCATGTTTGTTGAAGAGCTAGAGAGCTGAAATTTGGTATGTAGGTCCGCGTTGACCACTCAAGATCACGAGCTATGGCGGATATATCTACGCCCATTGGGGGCGTGGCAAATCGGATAAAACTGTATCTCCTAAAGTTGTAAACCTAGAATGCTGAAATTTTGCACGTCAGCTAATGGTATGATTTTATAAAGTCTGAAGATAAATTATAAGTCTACGCCCGTTGGGGGCGTGGCAAATCGGACCTGAAGATATAGTGATTTTTTAAATTCTCCTATATTTTGGACACTATTGATGGCAGAGACCTCAAATTTTGTATATATACTCGGACTGATCACCCAAGACCAAAAAGTTTTGTCGGATATATGTCCACCCACAGGGGGCGTGGCAAACCGCAAAAGTTTATATCTCCTAAAGTATAATAGCTAGAAGCTTCAAATTTGGATAGTTGAGTTACTGGTAGCCTCCTCTATCGATTCCCCAAAAATAATTTTTACGCCTCTTTAGGGGCGTGGCATATCGAAAAATACCCTGTAATTTTCACATTTTTTGAGGGTAAGCATTCAAACTTTGCAGTTAGGGTACCGTTATCTCTTTCTAAAAACTGACCAAAAATGAGGTGTCTACGCCCAGTTGGGGCGTGGCAAATCGGAAAAACCTGTATATTCTACAGTATTAGAGCGAAACTTAACTACTAAATTGTTGATGGGATGTGAATGAGTATTCCGCAGTCGGTAACGCCCGACTGCAACGTTCTTACTTGTTTTTTATTCATTTATTGACAAAATTATATAACAAATTGCAAGTTGCGTGGTGGCTAGGATAGCGCGCGGTGCTTGCGGGACGGCCGTAAAGCATTGCTTCGCAAGCACTATGCGCTACCTTAGCCTGGGACAGCTCGTCTTCTCAGTCGCTCGACTCTGCGGAGCTCCATCATCACTGTGGCCGCGAAGGTGCTTGTTAGTTCCCAAGCTTCCTCCGATTCCAGCATGGCGTTGACTAAGTTGTCCGCTCTGATGGAGCGGCCCACTGCCTCTTCCAGACGACGCCTCTCCTCCAGGAACCGTCCACATTCGAAAAGAATGTGGTTGGCGTCTTCCACATGCCCTCGCTCGCACCAGGGGCACTCGTCAGATTCCTCGTGGCCAAAGCGCTTCAAATAGCTCCGAAAGCATCCATGACCCGAGAGGATCTGCGTAAGGTAGAAGTTAACCTCGCCATGTTTGCGGTTAACCCATGGTTCAAGCTCCGGGATGAGCTTGTGCGTCCACCGCCCTTTAGCTGAGCTATTCCACCTTCTTTGCCATCGTGCGATGCTGTTCGCCCTGACAGCGTTGAGTCGCGTAGGCCCGTGCGAATTCCGCTCCACGGCTTCGGCGACCAAATACTCCAGTGGCACCATACCGGCTATGACGAGCGCCGCGTCATCGGAGATAGTCCTGAAAGCGCAGCTGACTCTGATTGCGCTCAGCCTGTAGATCGCGCAAATGCCTCGGCTGTAGCTCGGCGTTGCCATCGCTCTTGCCCATGTTGGCGCAGCATAGAGAATGACAGACCTAATGACGCTCATTAGGAGGAGACGTCGTTGCTGTTTAAGTCCCCGCGTGTTAAGCATGATTCTCGAGAGAGCTCTACAAGAATCAGCTGCCTTTTTATGCACATATTTTAAGTGCTCGCGGAAAGTTAATCTTGTGTCTATCGCCCTCTTTGACACAATGGTGACGCTGCCGATCTTTATAGCGGGATCCCGTCCGGCCCTGGAGCTGTGTTGGTTCTACGACCTCGGAGAACTACTGATATTTCTTCCTCTGTAACTAAAACAATTTCAGTGCTCGTTGAGCCCTGATCAGCAGACTCGGACTCAGGGGCGTGAATGGAGCTTAAACTTTCTGGAAAGAGTGTTTCCACAATCGATTAAAGCTCCAGACGATCCGTAGGCTGCACCTGTCTACCTGCGTATAGTCTTTTAACTACTATCTTATATGCCCTGCCCCAAGGGTCATATTCGGCTGAGTCGCACAACTGTAAAAAACATTCTCTTTTGCTTGCCCGAATGGCCTTCTTCAGCTGTCTTCTAGCTGCCTGATAAGCTAACTGTTTCTCAAAAAACGTTGACCTACCGCGAGCCCGTTGGTAGCTTCTTCTCGCCTGGATGCATTTGCGACGAATGTCACCTATTTGCGTATTCCACCAATACGTAGGCTCATGTTGTCGCGTGAACTGCTTGCGGCGTAACATGCTGCTATTGCAGGCACTCTGTATTTGGGCTACCATTTGGCATGCTCTGGCCTCAGCATTACCAATTTTACCCAGAGACTGAATGGCCTCTGAAAAGACCGCGGGATCAAAAGTATCTAGCCGATACGACTCCCTCCACAATGTTGACGCCCTGGCAGGTGTGGATCTCGTAGTCGAGCAGTCTCGACTACAGCTTTCTTACTTGTTTTTATATCCGTTTATTAACAACTTTTACAATATGCGTTTAGGTGTGTTTAGGTGGCTAAGGGTAGCGCACGATGCTTGCGGGACGGCCGTAAAGCATTGCTTCGCAAGCACTTTGCACTCCCTTAGCTTGGGACAGCTCGTCTTCGATAGATTCTGCGAAGCTCCATCATGATTGTGGTCGCGAAGGTGATTATAAGTTTCCAAGCTGCCTCCGCTTCCAACGTCACGCTGACCATGTTGTCCGCTCTAATAGAGCGGCCCAATGCTTTTTCCAGACAACGCATCTTCTCTAGGAAGCGTCCACATTCGAATAAGACGTGGTTGGCGTCCTCCACCAGACCTCGTCCGCACCAAGAGCATTCGTCGGTTTCGTCGTGGCCAAAGCGCTTCAAGTAACTCCGAAAGCATCCATGTCCCGATAGAATCTGTGAAAGATAAAAATCAACTTCGCCGTGTTTGCGGGTTATCCATGGCTCAAGCTCAGTGATAAGAGTATGTGTCCACCGCCCTTTAGTTGAGTTGTTCCACCTTCTTTGCCATGGTGCAAATAAGGCAGACAACCCTTCTAGCGTAACTCCTATTTGGGCTAACGCTTCTTTTAGTGAGTTGGGTGCCTGGCACTCAGCCGCTGGGGACTGATTAAAGGTCGACGGCTGCGGCAGCGCCCTCTGTTGTTGCTGCGGCGATCGCTGCTTGCAGCTCGAAATTGTATAAAATGCATATAAGTATACATAAAAAATTTGGAGACTCTAGCTTTGTGTTTAATCGATAACAAAATAACTGGGCAATTTATCGATATTTAAAGCAAAACTCGATATGCGCGTGATATACACGGACCTAGGAAAAAAAATTCAAGTCTCTAGCTCTTATATCTTCTGAGATCGACGCGTTCAAACATATGGACAGACGGACAGAGCTAAATCGACTCAGCTCGTCGCCCTGATCAAGAATATGTATACTTTGTGGGGTCTGCCTCGCCTCCTTCTGCCTGTTACATACATTTCAACAAAACCATTATACCCTGGTTTCCCATTGAAAATGGATTCAGGGTATAAAACCAGTCAATTAAATTAATTAATTCATTTAGCAAATCGAAATTGCATTTACGATTACAGCGACCTATTTTTGAAGGCAAAGCAGTTAATGGATTATCAGTAGATAAAGTGGGGTGACGAATATCTGGTATACAGAAAGGAGTTGATCGACATCAAGGTTCGATTCAAATGATCAATTGTCGGAATAAAGCAATTTGCATTACAAATAGAGGACCAAGAAGTGTTAGGAATATTAAAATCACCCAACACAAGAAGAAAGTCTCTATCATTTACATGTTCATAAATTTATTTAATACAAGTTACATATATGTATGTTGAGCATAAACTTGTACATCAGAAAAGGGGGATATATGAACGTGTGATAAATAATGAGCACGATAGGAGAGTTAATTTAAACCTTATGACCCCGCATCATGAAGGGATGAAAAGATAAAGATTCAGAAAGGATATGGGTTTAACAACAATTAAAACCCCTTCCTCCTTACGCATCAAACGGTCAAGTCTATAAATAGTGAACAAAATCTCACTATTAAAAATATTTTGACTTAAGCATGTTTATCAGATTGAACACTAAAACTATGCAAGAATAGATTTTTAAATTTAGAATTTAAGCCACGTGCGTTTTGGTAAATAAGGTACTGCTGAGAAAAGAATTATATAATATTTAGTTATTTGGTCCAATGTTTGATGATGATTTTAACCGATAGCAGTTAAAAATACACCTAATTCTGCCTGTTATACACATTTTATACCTGGATTTTACATTTACAATGGATTCAGGGTATAAAAACAGGTTTTACTCAGTTTATAAAATCATACATTTTTTTTTGTCTGTTTGAACTGTACCTGCATTCTATATGATAAGTTTCATTCGACTTCCTACCCTGTCTATAAAAAATTGTACGTACATATACATATATTATCGGGACATATTGTGTGCAATCTACCCTAAACAAGCTAAGAATGCCCCCTAAACAGTTAGCTGTAAATATTGTGCCTTATTTGAGCAACAAACGAAGTCTCTTTATAGCACAGGTATATTGAATTAATTTAGCTGAGCTAATCTAATAAATCCATAATATGCAGATATTTTATAGACCACAGAACAATGATTTAATATATTTGGTAAGTCTACACATTTTACAATTACAAATGACTCATTTGATGCAGGGTATACAAATAGGGGTTGATATAGGGTTATGTGCGACGCTTTTGTCCCTTCGGAAATGGACGGTGGTCGATGTCAGCTCGTTGTTTTTCGGCTCAGTCCACGAACAGGTACATATGTATATGCATAATGTAGTATTTTTAGCGGTTCGGTTGACGCCTGTTTAGTAGTTGCGCAGTGGCGTCAACATTTGGGGTATAATAGGGATAATACGTTAGTTACCCGTTTGGTCACAAACAGGCTGGGTCACTGAACTTTTCTGACCATTTGCGTGTAGCCAACAGTCACCTGACCGCCCGTTCACACAATACATTTAGCTTTCATATATGACCAATATTCCCGGTTAGGAATTTTACTCAATATATATATGTATATTTGGTTATTTTTTTGTATGGCTACATATAGGGGTAGCAATAGCTTGCTGACCAGAGAGACAATAGGGTACACAGGTGTAGTCGAACTGGTACAACTGCAGTGTAATTCAAGCAGCTCGTCTGAAACAGTATGGTCGAAACCTTATAATATTCTTTTCGTTCACGTAAACTAGAACAAGTAGTATAGTTTAAATAATGTCGTGATATATACCTACTCATTTAAATAAGTTAAGATGCTTACACAAATTCTACATTTGAAACTAGTGTTGTCTGTAATGTAAATACTTACAGACATGTAAAAATAAATATCATATAAATAGCATTCTTTGGAGTGTCAGAAAAGTTAAAAGTCATTTGTTTCCGGGTTACTATCCGAATTACTATCTATCTTCTCATAATGTCGTTTACTTCATTATTGAATTATATAAATGGCCACAACTGATACCGAATTACTCACAACAGTTTTTCCTAATTATGCCTGTTAAAAAGCTTGCGAAACACTTAACACCATAAACACATTAGATCCACAAAAAACATACATACATGTATGGATCAATTTATTAATGAAGTGAGTTTGTATCAATATGATTGTACAGCTAATCGTGATCAATGAAAAATAATACAAATAAAAGCATATAACAAATACTCGACTCCATATGTGCATGTAATTCCCCGGCTTCGAATTACATACACATGTAGTTTGTGCTTGTTTGCGATTCAAATACGATATTGAAATAAATATAATACAGATATTTATTAAATTAGATATTTAAAAAATGGTTATTTTCTTCTAAATAGCATATATTCATTTCATTTGTTTTGTCTTGTATTTTTTTTTCTTTTTTTTTTTGCTATATATACATATACGTTTCGTAAAAGTTCCCCTCAGCCATCATTCAAAATGGTGTCCATACGTCTTTTCGGATTCGGCGTCCAATCAGTTTCAAATACTATTCCACCCTTTTGGCGGCCAAACGATGAGTCGTGCAGCCAATGCCGTCATCGGCTTTCCATGTTCTCTGAACTCCAAAAAAAGAGCCAATGGAGTATTAGTCAAGAGCCGACTAACACAACGAAGATAACCTGTATCCATACGCACACACATATATTTTGCTCACTGTGTTCCACGGTTCATCCCTCAGGAGTATATTATGAGTGAAAGAGAGCTACAATAAGAATTGGTTTTCGAAACTAATGCGTGACATATTGCTACTAGCAGTAAAGATATCCGATCGTTGTTAAGCTAAGTATTTCAAATCAATCTTGAAACTTGGCGTATTTATAATTCCATAAAAAAAAAATAATAACAGCTTGAAATGTAAAAAATTGTCACATAAATCCTCGCTAGAGACTTGAAAGCCTTGAAACCTTCCTTCCCATTGCGTCCATGTGTGCCTGTGTGGGTGTTCGTGGGGTGTTTCTTTTGTAAGCAGAAAATGAGAGAGGAATTAATATACTCATTCACGAAAGTGAAATGAGTATATTAGTTTTGTGCATGTCCGTCTTGCTATTCGTCCGTCTTTCTGTATGATAGCTAGAGACTTGAAATTTGGAACACACTCTCATGTATACTCTCAATTCATAAAGTGTTAAAAATTTCCTGATCCGTCTACTAGGGGCGTGGAAAATCAGAAAATGCATTTTCCGATATGCCAGAAATCATATTAGTTGATCAGCTAGCTTAAAATTTGGAATGTAGATCCGTGTCGATCACCCAAGATCAAAAGCTATGGCGGATATATCTACGCCCGGTCCATTAGATCTGGAGACTTCAGTTTCATTATGTATATATATTTAATGGATACGAAGATTTTGTAATTTACAGCTTTTGGATACTACGCTCCCTTCGCCCCAAATTTCTAAAAACACGTATTCAAGTACTACTATACACACCTTGAAACATTATTATTATGTTCTAAAAGTTTCATTAAAATAGTCCGTCTACAAAAGAAATTATTCAACAGTTCTCATAATAAGTACTTATAATAAGTTCTTCTGCCCACACTGTAGTGCAGCCCAAGCGCAGACTTTGCTAACTGCGCAGTTAACCGAGCTCATGGTTATGCGTGGACGTATTTGTATGTATGTGTGAACGTATTTTTGTTCAGGGTTCTCCTAGCTCAGCACTCTCGACTAAAGCACTCTTATTTGTTGACTTTTGTTAAAATAATTATTATTGTATTGTATTAATAAAACACCTGATCAGCTCAGAGTGACAGTAAAAGACATTACTTAAATCTATCTAATGAATATATTAGACTAGAACTTTTGAAGCAGTTTATATCTAGCACAATGGTATTTTAGTGAGTATTCAGGGCGGGGAATTTAATATTTTTAACTTTAATGTAAATATTTTATTATGTAAGTAAATGATTTTTTTATTAAATTAAATTAAATTTTGAACCATACTCAGTGCTTTTTATACTCTGAACCCATTTTCAATGGTAAATCATGGTATAATGGTTTTGTTAAAGGTATGTAACAGGCAAAAGGAGGCGTGGCAGACCCCATAAAGTATATATAATCTTGATCAGGGCGACGAGCTGAGTCGATTTAGCTCTGTCCGTCTGTCCGTCCGTCCGTCCGTCTGTCCGTATGTTTGAACGCGTCGATCTCAGAAGATATAAGAGCTAGAGACTTGAAATTTTTTTTCCTAGGTCCGTGTATAGCACGCGCATATCGAGTTTTGCTTTAAATATCGATAAATTGTCCCGTTATTTTGTTATCGATTAAAAACATTATCGAAAATCAGCTATAAAATTAGATCTCCTACATCTTTAAAGCTAGAGTGTCCAGATTTTAAATATATATTTAGATGCATTTTATACAGTTTCGATTTTTATTAAAATTACCCCACACCAAACCCTATATCCTCCACTAACCTGTAAGTTTGTGAAAGGCGTATTTCAAATACTAGAGACTTGTGCTTTGGCAAATGTATGCTTATCTATGATCTTATCTATGATCTTCATTTCATGAAGATAGTTCATCGACAAGAAAAGTTATAAAATAATTAAATTTCCATAGTAATCCCACACTGCAGTCTCTGCGTGTTATGCATGCATGCCTATGTGTCTGTGTGTATGTCTCTTGTGTAAGCAGAAGAACGCGAAAATTTATTGAAATATAAATTCTTAGGTTCAGGGGATTTCGTAGTCGAGAAGTCTCGACTAGAGCGTTCTTACTTGTTATACCCTGAACCCATTGAAAATGGGAAATCCGCGTATAATGGTTTTGTGAAAAGTATGTAACAGGCAGTATGTAACGCAGACCCCATAAACTTTATATATTCTTGATCAGGGCGATGAGCTGAGTCGATATAGCCCTGTCCGTCGGTTCGGCCGTCCGTCCGTATGAACGCCTAGATCTCAGAAGTTATAAGAGCTAGAGAGCTGAAATTTTGCATGTAGATTTGTGTATACAATACGCAGTACAAGTTTATCATATATTTTCGATAACTCATCCGAGAGTGCTCGACTAGATACTACCCTGAACCAAACTAATAAAAATGCCCATTTAGTATGGCTAAAATTTCAATTTGATGTATTTAATATAAATGAAATACAAAACTTATTTTCTAAAATATAAAAATATTTTGAAACAATTAAAAATAATAACATAAGTTGCACCGCTCCATTGAGCGTCACGCAACTACTCACTACGCCACCTCACTTTCGGAAGCCGCTTTGGCAAATCTCAAATAGATTCACTTCTGCAGCGCCATCTAGCAAAACTAAACCATGATGCTGATGTGATTCTAAGAATCTGCTAGAATAACCAAACTATTAAAAACGCACATTTAGTATGGTTTAAATTTCAATTTCGGTGTATTTAAAAATATAAATTAAATAGAAAACTCATTTCTCAAAAAATAAAATATTTTGAAACAATTAAAAAAATTAACATCAGTTGCACCGACCGAGATTCAAACCGCGACTTCTCGATCGAGCGTCATGCCGCTACTCACTACGCCACCTAACCAAACTTATGCATACTCGTATATACCATAGGCAGTACAAGCTTAGCTTATTTTTTCGATAACTCGTCCGATAACTTTTTTATCGAGAATAATCGAGACATCGACTTGGTTTTTTCTGGAGACCTCAGATTTACTGTATATATACAGTTGTATTTTGTAATTTACAGATTTTGGATACCACGCCCCCTTCGCCCCCAATTATAGCGTGTGTTTATGTGTTATAGTATGTATGTATTTGTTTTACAGAGCAGTCTAGCCCAAAGGACTCTTACTAGTTTTGAATCGTATTTTAAACATTATTAGCGAATCTACATTCAGAATAGACAGTTTCTAGAGTGAATCTGATATTATACAATTAAGTACACAACTTTTACTATGGCCATTTTTTAACAGATTGACAAGGAAATATGATTAGCTCGAAAACAAATCTTGGAGGAAACGATGCGCAGATCTCTGGATACTTGCGTATCGCAAAAACTCCAGAAATTGATGATTCTGACGAGGAGCGTGAGTTAACAAATTTAAATTGGTTATTACGTAATCAAAATCTGACATGGTCAAAGACAATTGATGCCAACTCCGAGGATGATATCAATATTCAAGCTGGCAATCGGAATCTGACTACTGAGATTGAAAGTATTAATCCTCAAAAGATATTAAAACCGTTAGAACTATGTTCTTCGAAAAATTCAGCAAATAAATCTTTTATCCGAAACCTTATCAGCTGCCCCGAATCCAGAAAACAAAACTCATCAGTATTGTTAAAGCGTCCAACACCAGCGGAGAGATACGATATTTTTATTAACAAAATTAAAAGGTAATGATCCAGTTATACATAGACATTTACGAACACATATTCATATATTCATATTCACATATTCATTTATTCATATAAAATAACATTACAGCGATTTGGCAGAGTATGAAAAATCTGCTAATATATATAAGACAGATGTAACTCACAAGCCACCATTTAACTACTCCCATATTATTGGGATGGCGATGCTCGAAAACGGACGGGTTACACTTCAGCAAATTTGTGCATGGATTGAGTCAAAATTCGCATTTTTCCGAGTGCGTAAAAAATGGAATGTGAGTATAAAATTAACTTAAACCAAACCTACATATTTAAAATGACAACTCACGTTTATCCCCATTAACTAAGTGAGTAGTATATTATTTTCTAACATATATTATGCAGGGTAGTACTGCTCACCATCTGTCCGTCCATGTCCTTGGGACTATTTCACTAGAAACAAAGCTAATGAAAACTGGGACACTACCAAGTGCAAGACAACTCATGAGTCGTAACGAAATACTTTATCTGGTATATTAAAAACACTATTATTTGATTTTCGATTTCTGATATACTTTATAAATTAGCTAATTAACTATTGTATGAAAAATTATATATATTCCAAAGACGGTCGCTACCTACTGCAAACTTTTGCTTACAATAAACCCTGCTTCGTAAATAACAAAAATGTATAATTATATTATTATAAGGACAGAATTCGCATAGTTCCCAAACTACGTTTATTGCACATTTAAATATGTACTTCTGACTGAAATTCATATACAGTTGGTAACATATTGAATGTCAAATTTTTTTTTTTTTTTTTTTTTTTTTAGAATTCGATTAGGCATAATCTGTCGTTGCATCATTGCTTTCGCAATCGTAAACGTGAGGAAAAGGGCAAAGGAGGCTATTGGGAACTAGGAGTGGATCTAAGAAAATGTGATAGAAAACGGATAAGAAATCGCAAATCAACCAACTCAAAGTCAAAGCATTCATCGCCAGAGACTAAAAACTGTCAAACTCTTTTAACAAAATGCCAGTTGGCCAATTCGAAAAATGCCGGAAGCCCTCAGGATCGGTCTCCAAGCCTGTCATCACATTATATGCTGAATGAGAAGCCACAACCATCTAGTCCTACAAAAAATAGTGCTGAATACGATGTACGATTGGATTGCCTGACCGTAACTGAAGTAGAGGTGGGCCTAGGTGGTGGGCTGACATTATCAAACGGTTCACACGATCGTGACGCCCATTTTCTATACCCAGATTCCTCATTCACACCTTCTTCAAACAATGAAGCTTTTCTACCGCATCAATATGAGCTAGGCACCATTATAATTAGCACCACGGGCATTATCGATGACTCTTCGTGCATAAATAGTATAATCAATAATAAGTTGGACTGTTCTAGTATGGTGAGATTAAAATTTAACTATATTATTAATAATAGTCTTTCTATATTTTATTATAACTATTATCTTTATTTAGATCTATACCGAGGATGACATTCCAACAGCTAGTGAAAATGTTATCATATCGTCAAATAAAATGGATTCCAATAAGGAAAGTAATATAGCATTGGTAGCACCTATCACCTCCAATTCTGAGATCACGAGCAATGTTCCCATTAATTATGACTGCTCTAATTTTCGACCATACATTGACTGCATTGACGAGTCATATAATTACCTACATAGCAATGAGTTAAATCGCAATGAGGATATTTTAGATAACCTTCTGGACGACTGTGCTAGAGATTATTGAATGACAAATATCGCCAAATAAAAATGTAAACTTCTTCTAATACAGTAATCAGTTGACTTCATTTTCTTACATTATCTATTAATACCTCAGAATCTATTATTAATACAATCAGGTACCCTAATAATGTTTGTAACAGGTAGAAGGAGGTGTGGCAGAACCCATCATGTACATATGTGTATACATATATTCTTGACCAGGGCAATGAACATCGTATTTTTGAACGCGTCCATCTCAAGCTTGATATTTTGCTTCCGAACCTTAAACCTTACATACAATAAGTTTTGAAATTATATCTGGTATATCTTTACAGCTGGAATCTCAAATTTTCAAAAAGCGTATTTAAAATACTAGAAATGGGCAAAACAATTGAGATGAGTTATCACAAAAATATGATTATTGAATACACGTGTACTTTCATCCACCATCCAATATTTTCGTAGCCAAAAGTTGTGCAGGGTAATAAAGTAAATTTTTGTTCAAAAATTTGTGTTCTAGATGCTTAGTCCGAACACATATGTTATATAGCTAGTTGTTGTGCATACCAGCTTTTACAGATATGCTTATTGAAGAACAAGTAGGAAAGCTCTAGTCGAGACTGCCCGACTACGAGATCCCCTGAACACTTCGAGCAACTGATATTTCAATAATTATTCGCACATGCACACACACACGCGCGCACACAGCCATACGCACGCACGCATAAACACGCATTGGCTGCAGTGTGGGCTTACTATGGAAATTTAATTGTGTAATAACTTTTATTGTTTTATTTTATTTATTGGATGGACCATCTCATGATTCCCATTGAAAATGGGTTCAGGGTATAAAACAAAAATAATTATGTCTTCAAGCCGAATACGGTGGGCGTTGCTGCCGGATTCTCACTTTAGATTTATTAGATATACATACATCACGCACGTGTGTGTTGTTACTGTGCTCTGGGTGCTAGATGCGCAGCATTTGCACATTTTACGTATGAATACGTATTGATATTTGGGCTCGATATGTAATGCAGAAAATCACATTAGCTACATTGGAACTAGAAGTGGGCATGGGTCAATATTTTGCAACCACTGACGAACGCCATGAATACTTCACACAAACTTCTTACAGAAGACCTTACTTGCCACATATCGTTGAACGGCGACTGAATTTTTCTCGCAAATCTGGAATCTTATCAATCAAGAAGGGAAATGAGAGGGCTCTATACACTACACAAAAATTCCCAAAAATTGGAAAAACAATTGCAATTGACTAAATATTTCATATGTATATATGTATGTACTTTATATAATTTCCGTTTTCATTAAAATGTTATAATCACAATCTGAAAGTTTCATGAAGATAGTCCACAAAAAATGTATTAAGCAATTAAGTTCCCGTAGTAAACCCACATTGCAGCGAATAGGTGTTTATGCGTTCATGCCATAGCTTAAGTCTCTAGTATTTGAAATACGCTTTTTACAATTTTGCAGTGAGGGGTGGTTAATTCAATAAATTACATATAAATGTACATTTCAAATTTGGCGACTCGAACTTTCAAGATGTAACAGATATATATGTATTACTGATTTTCGATTTTCCAATAACGAGAAGAGTTATCTAATTTTTTAAATACTCTCGATATCCGAACGAAACGAATTTCAAGTCTCTAACTCTTATATCTTCTGAGATCGACTCGTTCAAGTATACGGACAGACGGACACGCGGACGGATGGACGGACGGACAGATAGACGGGCTGGGCTAAATTAACTCAGCTCGTCGCCCTAATCAAGAATATATATATTTTGTGGGGTCTGCCAGGCCTCCATCTGCCTGTTAAATTTAATTCAAGAAAACCGTTATATCCTGATTTCCTATTTTCAATGGGTGCAGGGTATAAAAACTGGTTAATTAACAAATAAGAGTGCTCTAGTCGAGACTGCTCGACTAGGAGATACCCTGAACCCTCCAAGCTTATATTCTAATCAAACTTCACTTCTTTTGTGCGCACATACATACACATGCAACCACACGCACGCATAAGCCCGCACTCTGCTAACTGTGCAGTAAGCAGCGACTGCGCTTGGGCTGCGCTGCTGCGTGGGCAATATTATGAGAATTTATTTCTTGAATAATTTTTATAGAAATACAATCTTAATGAAATCTTTATAGCGTAATCATATGGTGAAAATGTGTGTACATTCCAAAGCACAAGTCTCTAGTACTTAAAATACGTTTGTTACAAATTGGGGGCAAAGGGGGCGTGGTATGCAAAATCTGTAAATTACAAAATGTTTAGATTTTTCGATTATTCTCGATAAAAAGTTATCGGATGACTAATCGAAAAAATATGATAAACTTGTACTGCGTATGGTACACACGAGTATGCATGCCAAATTTCAGCTCTCTACGTCTTATAACTTCTGAGATCAACGCACTCATGCGGACGGACGGACAGACGCACAGCGCTATATCGACTCAGCTCGTCAAGAATGTTCAAGAATATATATACTTTATGGGGTCTGCGATGATTCCTTCTGCCCGTTACATACTTTTTCACAAAACCATCATACCCTGATTTCCCATTTTCAATGGGTTCAGGGTATAAAAATATTTTGTCTCGTCATATAGTAAAACCATGTAGTGTTATTTCAAATTGTCGGGATTCGACTGTATATTTATATATAATCCATAGAAATACTAAAGACAGGGAAAATGGGCTTACAATTGATTTATGAGCATGCGCATTCGGAAACTTGCATGTTGCTCCATGTTGATATCTTAAGCTTATCACTATGGTTCTCATCCACGTGCAATATTTCCAGCTCCGTGAGTTTCGATGGGGCACAGCATGGTCGAGGTACACGGTTATGGTCCTGTTGCCATATTAAGCTCTGGAGTAGGGCGTGGTGATGGGCGGGATTGTGCCTAGGGGGGCAACGCCCAAGGCAATAGCCGGCGTCGAAAACCTTTGGCTGTATGATGAACTCGAATCCTTTGATGTCCTTAAAAGCCACATTCAATTGATGACGGCAGCAACGTTGGTGCGGTTTATAGCAACTATTAGGCCATAATTTTGCCTTATTCGAATTACGATGATCAGAGTAGTTGCTGTGATTAAACGATTGTATTCCTTTTTCACGATGGGTGCGACCGATGTGTCCAATAATATTCAAAACAGGTGATAGGTGATATCGATCATCATCATCGGCATCAATCTGATCCCTATGATGTGGGCTGTACACATCGCTGAGTATACGCGCCCCAATGCGTCGACATTTATCACATTGTATCTCTATGCCAAGATTCTCGCAGCTCTTGTTTAACCATCCACGCACCGCCTCGGTGACATCGAATTCTAACCACTGGCTGTGGGTTTCGTCCACATCCATCGCGTTCTCAAACTCTATTTTACGGGAATCTAACTGCTTTCGTTTGTGCATTGGCAGCAATTGATAAACGCTCAATTTTAATGTGTAGCTACGGGTTTTGGGACTACGATTTTGTTGGTTATTTGCGGAAATCGTGCCATCTGTATTGCACTTTGCTCTGTGATTCATTGAATTGTTATGTTTTATTTTAGCTTCTTGTTCTATCCTTGTTCTATAGTGACGCGATTGTGCTGCCAATGCTGGATTGTACAGCATCATTAGCCTCACGTTTGCCTCATCAAGTTTCTTGTAGTGATATTCATCAGCATCGTTAATGGCTAATGGAAAATGTAAGAGAATATTTGTCTTATCGCTAAACGATTCCATCCTCGACTCTAAATTCGCTCTTTTCATTCCCCTTGGAGCCCGACGTTGACGGCGGAATCGTTTGTACGTTATATCGCTAAAACTATTTGTCGCTATAGTTAAAATACGAAGTGTTGTTGAGGATGGATCACCTGAAGAATAAACGTTGCCGTCCTTACTGTCACCAACTCCCTGATTTTTTGTCACACGTTCTAAATACTGAAGGTATTTACTTGAGTATTCTAATTGACTAATGTTTGCCTGTAATGTACAAAAAACATATTTAAAAAATCATCATCATGTATTGTGACATGTAATACGTATGAGTACGTATGAGTTAAGAGAAGAGAAAAGAAGAGAAGAGAAGAGAAGAGAAGAGAAGAGAAGAGAAGAGAAGAGAAGAGAAGAGAAGAGAAGAGAAGAGAAGAGAAGAGAAGAGAAGAGAAGAGAAGAGAAGAGAAGAGAAGAGAAGAGAAGAGAAGAGAAGAGAAGAGAAGAGAAGAAGAGAAGAGAAGAGAAGAGAAGAGAAGAGAAGAGAAGAGAAGAGAAGAGAAGAGAAGAGAAGAGAAGAGAAGAGAAGAGAAGAGAAGAGAAGAGAAGAGAAGAGAAGAGAAGAGAAGAGAAGAGAAGAGAAGAGAAGAGAAGAGAAGAGAAGAGAAGAGAAGAGAAGAGAAGAGAAGAGAAGAGAAGAGAAGAGAAGAGAAGAGAAGAGAAGAGAAGAGAAGAGAAGAGAAGAGAAGAGAAGAGAAGAGAAGAGAAGAGAAGAGAAGAGAAGAGAAGAGAAGAGAAGAGAAGAGAAGAGAAGAGAAGAGAAGAGAAGAGAAGAGAAGAGAAGAGAAGAGAAGAGAAGAGAAGAGAAGAGAAGAGAAGAGAAGAGAAGAGAAGAGAAGAAGAGAAGAGAAGAGAAGAGAAGAGAAGAGAAGAGAAGAGAAGAGAAGAGAAGAGAAGAGAAGAGAAGAGAAGAGAAGAGAAGAGAAGAGAAGAGAAGAGAAGAGAAGAGAAGAGAAGAGAAGAGAAGAGAAGAGAAGAGAAGAGAAGAGAAGAGAAGAGAAGAGAAGAGAAGAGAAGAGAAGAGAAGAGAAGAGAAGAGAAGAGAAGAGAAGAGAAGAGAAGAGAAGAGAAGAGAAGAGAAGAGAAGAGAAGAGAAGAGAAGAGAAGAGAAGAGAAGAGAAGAGAAGAGAAGAGAAGAGAAGAGAAGAGAAGAGAAGAGAAGAGAAGAGAAGAGAAGAGAAGAGAAGAGAAGAGAAGAGAAGAGAAGAGAAGAGAAGAGAAGAGAAGAGAAGAGAAGAGAAGAGAAGAGAAGAGAAGAGAAGAGAAGAGAAGAGAAGAGAAGAGAAGAGAAGAGAAGAGAAGAGAAGAGAAGAGAAGAGAAGAGAAGAGAAGAGAAGAGAAGAGAAGAGAAGAGAAGAGAAGAGAAGAGAAGAGAAGAGAAGAGA